CTGCGGTGGCCGGGAGCGGCCACTGCACTCTAGTCTGGGCAACAGAGTGAGACTCGAAATAAAAAAAAAAAAAAAAATGTAATCCTCCTAACTACCTTCTTTCTTTTTTTCTTTTTAAGACTAGTTAAGTGAGGTAGTGAGAAGGGGGGAAAGAGAGAACAAAGAATAAAACAAACAGTTGTAACTGACTGTGAGCAATCTAGTGAGATAACTCACTACCTTAGAACCAGCCCTAACTACCTTCTGAAGAGTAGTGATAAGAACTCAAACTTGGCTGGGATCGGTGGCTCAGCCTGTAATCCCAGCACTTTGGGAGGTCAAGGTGAGTGAATTGCCTGAGCCCGCTGGTTCGAGACTAGCCTGGGTCACTTGGAGAGACCTTGTCTCTACAATAAAAAAATAAAAAATTAAATTAAAAAAAGAAATCAAACTTGCTGGGCAGGAGTTGTGCTCACCTGTAGTCCCAGGTACTCAGAATGCTGAGGCTGGAGGATTGCCCAAACCTAGGAGCTGGAGGTTGTAGATCTACAATAATTGTTTGTGAATAACCACTCTGGGCTGGGCAACATAGTGAGACCTGTCTCTAAAATACAATAAAGTTAAAAAAAAAAAAAAAAAAAAAGAATTCAGCTGGGCACTGTGACTCAAGCCTATAATTCCAGCACTTTGGGAGGCGAGAAGATTGCCTGAGTCCAGCCTGGGCAACTTGGTGAGACCTCCTCTCTACAAGAAAACAAAAAATTAGCTGGGTGTGGTGGCGCACGCCTGTAGTTACATCTACTTGGAAGGTTGAGATGGAAGGATCACCTGAGCCCAGCAGGTCGAGGCTGTGGTGGCCGTGAGCATGCCACTGCACTCCAGCCTGGGTGACAGAGTGAGACTCCAACTCAAAAAAAAAAAGAGAGAGAGAGAATTCAAATCTTGACCACACTGCTTGATAACAAACATAGGCAAATTACTGCACTTCTCTCTGATTCTCATTGGAAATAATGTTTACATTCCATGAGACTGAGATAAAGAAAAATGCAAATAAAGTGGTGCTGTGGTTTGAATGTTTGTTTCTTTTGAAATTCATGTTGAAACTTAATCCCCAATATGATAGTATTGGGAGGTGGGGCCTTTCAGAAGTGATTGGGTCGTGAGGGCTCTGCCCTTATGAATGTATTAATCCATTCATAAATTAATGGATTAAGGGATTAATGGATTAACGGGTTGTCACAGGAGTGAGACTAGTGGCTTTATAGGAAGGGGGAGAGATCTGAGCTAGCAAGTTCATCCTCTCACCATGAGATGTCTTGTGCCACCTTGACACTGCAGAGAACACCCACCAGCAAGAAGGCTCTCACCAGATGCAGCCCTTTGACCCTGAATTTCTCAGCCTACTTAATTATAAGAAATGAATTCCTTTTCTTTATTATTACCCAGTTTCAAGTATTCTTTTTTTTTTTTTTTTTTAATTTGAGTTGGAGTCTCACTCTGTCATCCAGACTGGAGTGCAGTGGCCGCTCCCGGCCACCGCAGCCTCACCTGCTGGGCTCCGGTGATCCTTCCGCCTCAGCCTTCCAAGTAGCCGGAATTACAGGCATGCGCTACCACGCCCGGCTGATTTTTTTATTTATTGTAGAGATGAGGTCTCGCCGCCCAGGCGGGTCTCGAACCCGCGGGCTCAGACAATCCACTCACCTCAGCCTCCCAAAGGCGTGGGATTATAGGCTGAGCCACCGAGCCCAGCTCAAGTACTCTTTTTTAAGCTACACAGAAGGTAGACTAAGACACAGGATTAACACATTGCCCAGCACATAGGTAGTAATGAATAAGTGATAATATGTTTATTATTTGGATTGTTATTATTTTCTTTTCTTTTTTTTTTTTTTTTTTTTTTGGGTCAGCGTCTCACTTTGTCACCCAGGCTGGAGTGCAGTGGCACACTCATGGCCACCGCAGCCTCAACCTTCTGGGCTCAGGTGATCTTTCCGCCTCAGCCTTCCAAGTAACTGGAGCCACAGACATGCTCCACCATGTCCCGCTAATTTTTCTTGATTTATTGTAGAGATGAGGTCTCGCCAAGTTGCCCAGGCTGTTCTCAAACCCCTGAGCTCAGGCAATCCTCTCGCTTCAGCCTCCCAAAGTGCTGGGATTGCAGGCTTGAGTCACTGCACCTGGCCTGGATTGTTTTTCTTACTGTAAAGATTAGGGAAAAGAGTTGAGTATCTAGACTATTTGCCCAAGGACTTTATTTGGGATTGGATCCCCAGGTCTTGTTGGTACCTTGTGGTTTCTAATCTTTTATCATTTTGATCCCAGATTTTTCACATTTGTTGTTTGGAAATACATTTTTGTTTTTTGCTTGTTTTTCAATAGAAACATCCTTCTGAGCACATGACCTGGAAACTCAGAACACTGAGTGGTAGACTTAACCTTCTCCTCCTCTTTTTTTTTTTTTTAAGCAGGATTTATTGAGAGGACAGAAAAGCTCCTAGAGTGGGAGGGGACATAAGGGATTGCCCTCTCTTCCTCTTTTATTTATTTTTGTTACTCTATCCCACACAGAACCCTAGATATTCTGGAATGGTCCTGTTTTCCACAGTTTTATTGGGTGAGAGTCACAACTTCTGATCTGACATAGCTTGAGGAGTATTCACTATCTGGCTGGGCACGTTGGCTCATGCCTGTAATCCCAGCACTTTGGGAGGCAGAGGCAAGAAGATTGCCTGAGTCCAGGAGTTTGAGACCAGCCTGGGCAACTTGAAGAGACCTTGTCTCTACAATAAATCAAAAAACTAGCTGGGCATATTGGTGCATGCCTGTGGTTCCAGTTACTTGGAAGGCTGAGGCGGAAGGTTTGCCAGAGCCCAGTAGGTCGAGGCTGCAGTGGCTGTGAGCGTCCCACTGCACTCCAGCCTGGGCAACAGAGTGAGACTGACTCAAAAAAAAAGGAATATTCACTATCTAATATGATTCACTCACTGGTTTTGTATGCCTCTTGTGTACACTCAGTTCTCTATCAACATATATCTTTGGGTTGTTTCCAGCCTCTCTTTGATAGTATCCGTTTGGAAGTAAAAGAAGAAGTGATGCATATGCTTTGTGATAGCCTGACCATGGTCCAAGAGGAGAGCTAGAAATGAGAAGCCATAGAAATCTGGGTAAATGTTGGACACAGCCTCTTGCTAGTTTCCGTGGCCACAGATTAGTATATACATG